AATTATGCCTACATAATACTAAACTTCGTTGCTTCATGTGATGATCTACGAAATTTGAATAGAGACAGTTAATGGCAGCATAAATTGATAGAATCTTCGTAAAAATCATCTCATCCAGTCTTATTGAATATTACTAGTCGAGTTGAATTAGTTTTCAAGAGGAGTTGCTGCATTAATTCACTAATTTTTATAGTAGCTTCTCTTGTTTTATTGGTATGGTGTCAATCATAATGATGATCAAGGACAGATGGGACTTTTTCATTATATCTTATTGTCTTTTTCTTTTTGAATCATATGATAATAGAAGCTTCTCACTTTTACAGACGTCAAATATGTCTGGTAATAAAGGATGAGATATACTTCTACTATGTATATGCAGATAGGTAAAATTTAAAGACTGGTGAATCAATCAAAAAGTATGATATTTCAGCACATACTTTGAATATGTCAGTCAGGTTGTTCAACGAAAAAAGTGTTCGCCTTATCTTACGTCATATTTTACAAACATCTGACTTCATGATGTCTTTACAGTTGGCAGGTAGTTTTTATTTAGTTCCTGAGGCAAAGGATTATTATAAGAATGAAAGTAAAGTTTTATATCAAGTGGAAACAAGAAACATAGTTTGTTACAAATGCATGTGAAACAATTCTAAGAATCCATTATTTAATAACGATATTTTTTTTATATAGGATTATACATTATCTATCAAAATAATTCTTTCATTTTCGAACCATACATTTGACCTCAAATCTTGTAATGTTAAGGCTTTTTGAATATATTGATTGCCGCCCATAAGATCGAACAGTTTTATTTTGATTATATGTCCCGTTTTTATCGAAGGTATAGGATTAATTTTTTTCAATCGATTTTCGAAGAAAATCTCTAAAAATTTAACAATTTTTCTTAATGTAGTTAGTCTTCATCATTGTGCAAAATCCTATGCATTCGTTTACTTCAATCGTCTATACTCTTCCTTATAACATCATATCAACTTTTTCAGACCATAGTTGAGTAGCTTAAGTAAGATCAATTTAGATTGCACCTGATTCTAGTTTATTGCCTGATTCACTCCATCTCAGATACTGTAATCGATTGAGTTTTAGCCAGAACTATGGACTGCTCCACATGCAGATAAAAGAAAAGGTGACATATTTTGATAACACTATTCCTGTGTATTGTCATCTCTATATGCAAGGATATTGTCCTTTTGAAAAGTCAAATCATCATCGTACATCTCATGTGTATGCTTGCTGGCTATAAGAAGCACTTTTCCATGTATACGTGATGATCCACCGAATCCTTTTCGAGTATAACGTGTGGTGTTAAAGTTTGAGCGGAATCACCTAACCATAGCATTAGTGAATGTGAGAATTCTTGATTTCTCTTGAATACTACCCTTTCTATCTGCTTTAGCAATTTTTACCGCCCGAACACGATCATTTTGTGAATTGCACAAATCATTGATATTCAAAAATTGTGTGCATACATTTCGCAAAAGTTTGATTTTGTAAAGTATGATTGTTGGTAATTGCAGGTTCAATAGGTAGCTTCTACGGATCACATTCTAGATTTTCTTTTAATCTTCTCTGAACACTGGTTCTTGATTTTTTCAATTCTCTCGCGAATTTTTCTCTGGACACCTTTGTTTGCTTGTTCAAGTGCCGTTTAACCTTCATTGTCATTGCCTTTGTTCTAACAGCGTGTTGCTAAACAATCATTTAGACAACGAAAAATCTGGCGAGCACATATTCCGTCATCCTGAAGAGAAAGTAGAAATTTACAACGATTTTGACTTTTTTGTCATCTAACACATGAATAAGCCAGTATACAAAAGTGTTTGTAAAGAGTTTTCTAAAGAATATTTTGAATAATCTACTGAAAAATAAAATTAGTGTTATTACTTCCGAAAAGACGGGAGTTATGAGCAAAATACAAGTATTCGACTTGATCTGGGTCACCCGATAAAATCTCATATATACGGACATACTCAAGAAGATAAGTTCTGAATTTTGGATCATTAAATACAAATATCTTGTAGTTTTAGATTTCAATCAATAATGTTTTGATAAAAAGAAATTCATTTAGTGAAATGAGTTGAATCATGTTCAAAACTGAAAAAAAAATAATCAGTTTAGTACTCAATTCAATTAAACTTAATCATAAATTATTGACAAGCTTAATAGTATCGATTGTTCTCATTCGTATTTTTTTCTCATTCATATTATAATTGTAGAGAAGAGAACAAGAAGATACAACAACAGTTCTTGTTTGCATTAATATCTATCAATCTATAGTTTTGATATATACATGATATGATGATCATCAATAACGATTAAAAAATATCCGTAGATTTATTTGAGCAAAATTTTAACTCATCATAGAATACATTCGTAAGACATATGCCTCTTGTTATTCTTTTTGTTTTGAATCATTCTTTTGTGAAGCAATTAATTATTAATTTTGCACATGTCAAGTTTTTACGTATCAGAAAAGCATCGGTACAGAATAATAATCATTCTTATACGAAATAAAAAACTTAAAATACTTTTTCTTGTAACATTATCAGCCATTCTTTCGTGTATGTCTCATCGTACATCCCTAGTTTAAGTAGCTTCAACGACGCGTGTTCTTTATTAATATATTTTTTCTTAAATTGATTTTAGCTTTTGCTCTTCTCCTTCTCTTTTTTTTTTTACCATGATATGATTTATTTGTTAGATGAACATTATTGTTATGCAGTATTTATGAATTCTCTTGTAATATCCTTTAGGCAGCATTCATAAGTTATGGCATTATTACATTGTGTTTGTTTAATATGTGTACTTATGTTAGAATATTTATTCGGCAACGATCAAATAATCAAATACAAGCAATAAAAAGCAGATAATCTCGACATTTGCTGACTATTCAATGTATTCTTATCACTCTCGATATATAATATTTCTTGGAATACTCAGTTTCATTTTGATCATAATATGAACTATCATTAGTGAAGAATATCCTTTGAGCTTTTATATTACATGGATTTCATGCATTGCATCTGTGGCAGGACTCAGTTTAGCAATGATTTTTTTAATTTCGTCCTTGAATAATATTGTTTAGAAAAAGCGATTACGATACAAATGATCGCTAAGCTGCAATATTATATCTGTTCAACAAAATAGATCAATACCATATTCATAGTTCATGACTTTTTTTTTGTTTTCCATATATTTATTTTGAAATTCGTATATCGATTATAAAATATCCAATTATCACTTACTTCTAATCTTTTTATTATCGACTATATAGAGATTGAATACATTCAATTTAGTTATTGATGAATATGTGAATAAAGATGTTTCGTATTGAAAACTAGGTTTTTTTTCAAATGTTTACATCTTCATGCATTCTATTGATTGTTTTTCTCGTAAGATAGATGAAGCAGATGAAAAATATAATCATCTTGATGTAAGTTACTTTTCTCATTTATGGAAACAACTAATAGAAATTCTCATAAGAATTCAAAACAAACGTAACTTATCATATGCAGTTTGAACTGCGTATGAACATGTTTTAAGAGCATATGAAAAGGTCGAATATTAAAATGATTCTACATGTGAAATGCGTGCAGACATGCATGTTTCTTAAAACGCGTATATTAATGTACATGACTGTATGGAACAACTATGTTTACATGTAGCTTAAGCCTATTTTAAATGCATATCGATACATAAGTTATACAATACATATGAATCCTAATAAAACAAAACGGTTATTTCTATTTGTGGGAAAAATATCCTTTTGTTTTGTATTGAAATATGTTGCTTTTGAGTCACATTACAACTGTTTCGCCTCCTCTCCTTATCTCTAGGAATTTATTTTATTCTATATGCCGCCTCTTAACTTGCATGCTTTATTTTCTTTCATTTTTTTTCTTGATTCTTTGTATCGAATGTATGAATAAGGCTGTTCCTATTTATCCCTTTTTCGTTTGTTTTTTGCTTTATATTCATGTCAGTTATTTAATGATTCGATTATATTTTTTTAATATAAAATACAAATACGAAATAATCCAAGAATATAGAATTCAAACTAACGGTAACTATTTTTCTCTTGTATGTATCGAACAATATAAGATTTCTTCTTCACTCTCAATCAATAAGTATTTATATGATGATATCGGAAATTTTTAGCTTCCTCTATCAGATTGATAAAACTAACGGAGTTTTATATCGGAACAAGTGCTTAATGAAACAGAGAAAACTAAAGACGGTCAATGCAATGGTATTTTTTTTTGTTATTCCTATATTAATCTAAAGTTCCTGAGCAAACGGTAATCTTAAATAACTTTTTATTTTTATTGTAAAAAAAATTTAGTTCACATTCATTAATTAACTTTTCATGCTACTTACTATTTGTTTTCTTTCTTCGTAACAGATTTCATGAAAATCATTTCATTTTTTTCATGAAAGAAACTGTAGGTGTTGCCAATGAAAAGTACACTCTCCGAATACTGTTAGTGATATTTGAATTATGCTCTTGCTATTGGTTACTTCTTACTAAACTTTTAAGAATTCGATTAAATGTGGTCGGTATCCTTCATTTTACTCTAGATCTAGTAATATCTTTGTTGAAAAACATTCGCTGAATAAATCACTAAATCAATTTATAATAGAAAATAGATCTTCATAGAAGTAACAACTGAAACTAGAAGTACTCGTGACTAAGGCTTTTCTAGTTCTAACCTTGCGGAAAATATTTGACGATCTGTTCGTACGAAGTCTAGATAATTTCTAAATTCGTTTTTTTCGATTTATTCAATCGAAGAATACCATATTTGTTTTTTTCTTCCGAAGTTTATGTTGCTTGATACGAAAACCAGGTTGCACTCGCTCTGAAATCATAATCTGTCTAAATTAAATCTGTTTCGTACAACTGTATTACTAACATATACAACAATGCTAACAGAATGATATAAATTCTATGTATCTCTTTTTGTAGAGAACTTAATTCAGCTATGGATAAGAATCATTTACGTGGAATCATATTGAAACTTCAGGATTATTTAAGTGATAATGATCGACAACGTTTACATTTTTTTCTTGGAGACAGTGTTCCACGACAAATTAGAGATGATCAAACACTAAGTGGTACTCTCAAGTTGATGGAATCACTGTTAGATCAAGATAAAATCAATGAAAGTGATGTCACATTTTTAATTAATGCCTTTGATGCAATTCAATGCATTGATGGCGTTAAACTTCTCAATGGTATAGTTCTTTATTTGATTGATGTCCTATTTGGATTTTGTTCATCTAGAACATATGAAATGGATGCAGTCAAATCCAATGCATAAATCAACACAGAATTTATCACCAATAGTCCCATCATTCATTGATCAAGTTATTATGGACCAAGAAGATAAAAATTCCACTCAAACCTGTGAGTAGAATCGTTATTATTCTTTAAAATTCGTTTATATTTAACTGATAAATATAGTTTTTCTGCACCAGAAAAATCATTGCAGTAAAAACAATAAGATTATCAATAGTAACAATACAAATATTAATCCATTGACAATCACTATCGATAACCAAAAACTATTATCTTCATCATCCAAACAAAATCAATTATTTTACATGTCATCGATAACAAACAAATATTGTTTTTTAATGCTTTTCTTATTAGTTATTGCATTTGGAATATTGGTGGGTCTTTTTTTCATAAAAATCAAAGAAATTAATGGACTAAAAAATAGTTTGAAAATCAAAAATGATAGTTTTTTGGAAGAACAAAGAAAGACTAATCAAACTATTCAACATTTAAACAATCTTAACTTAGAAAACACTCACAAACTTGAACAATTGAACAAACGGATAGAAGAGATGAAAAACGGGAAAAGTAAGATAAATACAGTTTCTTTTTCTAAAGATATCAATAATAAATTCAATGTTCGATTGTATCAGGTATTATTTTCATCAAAGCCGGTCAAAAGTTTGGTGGTACAAGTGGCGACTACTTCGATGATTCTTTCCTACCGGGTTTTACTTGTCATCATTTAAACGGCATCAATACTTATCGCAATAATGACAGAATAGAATCATATGAGTTTTCTTATTCTTCAGATGATGATAATCACAATCCAATAGAATCACAGACTCACGACAATCAAAATGCCATAATTAAGACAGAATTCAGATTTAATAATGACGAAAAGATAGAGAGAGTAGAAGGACAGCTTATTAATGAACATATTGTCTTTCCTAACGGCACAAACATAACAACATCACGAATCACGGGACTTCAATTCTTTTCAACAAAAGGTCATGCAAGTCCATCATACAATGGTCGATTGGGTGAAACGTTTACCGAAAATTTTGATGGATACACTTTAGGCTTCGTTACTGGAAGATCGAACCATTATATTAATCAGTTACAGTTCTTTTGGTATCGAACAGTAAATAAATGTTAATCATTAATGGTCAATATCGTCATTTTTACAATTTCTCGATTATGCCAGTCGATGAATGATTCTTTTGAGATTTTGACAAAAGAACATATGTCTTTACACTAAGTTATAATGAGAGCTTTTCATTCATTGCGAGATCAATCATTCCAACTATTTGATTCAATCCCCATTGGACGTGAATTAAACGTCGGTAGATCATTGCTTTTTTTTATGCGGGATGTTGTACATCCACTGACGCTTTACAATTACTGCACCTTCAGCATATACATCAATACCTCTCTATAGAGGACACGTAAGAGACTCTTTCTAAGTGTCTACTGTAGGGAAATGTCCACTTTTGAGAAGATTTCAAATTTTTTCTTGATAGTCATTTCTGTAGTAACTGAAGCAAATTAATCTCCCTTTCTCAATATGAATTATTTTGCAAAAAACAGATGTTTTGAGAATATTTTATATGATAATTAATTGAAAAATTTTTGAATTTCATCAATATTTTTAGAATAAGTCAATTATATAAGTTTGTTTGAACACTTTTCAATTAAGATTAAAGTCAGTCATTTTCCCCTCGATTTCATTGATAACTATGTATAGGCATGTCATTTTTCTGTTAATTTATTTTTGAATTTAATAAATTTTCGTAAATGTAGATTGATCATACCTAACTACATGTAGCCCATCTTGCAGTGTCCAGCATGAGTCAAGCTTTCTAAATCAATCTCACTTATACATTTTCTGGTTCTATCCAAGCTGACACGAGCACAGCTGAGCCTAACTCTATCCGACTTGGGCTCTAATATAGATCGCTTTTCTCCTTTCTATTGAAAAATTCAATTTCTTGATTCATCTTTCTTCCTTTCTTTTTCTAGTTGGATGTAAAGGATATACCCTTGGCTTTTTTTTGCGTCTTAAATATTTCGTTGATATTCCACAGTTGAGATAAGAGGACTATGTAATAGAAGTTTTTTCTTGTTTCTTCTTCTTTTCTTTGGGATACAGCATGTGAGATCTATAGCTTCTTGTTGTGCTGAGCTTCTCCACGTTCTCATGTAAAACCTTGAAAATGAAAAAACATTCAAAATATCTTTTGTGTCTGCAAATTGTTCAGCCTACAGATTGACACAATATTTAACACGTGATAGAGTTGGAAACGAATGATTGTGTTGTCGATTGGTTCACAGATCGTTTATTTGAGCTGTTCTGGATTCAGATCATAATAGATAATGATAAGAACGGCATCGAAGAGTCACTTTGTGATGCAAGTGATAGGAGTGTTGTGAAAGCAAAAAAGATACAAATCGTAATGTTGAATATCTATTGGTGCAAAAAAGGTTGCTGGTGCGAGCACTATAGCGTCTACATGATCATTGGACTAAAAATTATAACGAACAGTTTTCTAATCACGAACAAATAATCGTTCTTCTTAAATTAATTGAATCCAACACAAAAATTATAACTTGATCGATTTGTGCTTCTTACGTTCATTTTATGACAAGTGTGGCAAATCTAAGCATCATTACCCATCATTCTTGATATCTTGAATATAAATGTTTTTATCTGCGTGGTTGTCAAAAACTTCACTATTTAAAACATTGACAACGGTATGCCAACCATTGAAATTGCGATGCAGGCTACAGAATTTTCTAGAATAGTCAACTTCATGTCATTAATTTTATTTAGCTCCTCTTTACTGGATTTCTAAGTGCTTATAATGAGAAGGTAGAATCGAAGAACTTCAACTTACAGCTTACATTTACTATTGTCTTCGAAAATATGTGCAAGTTCTACACAAACTCACCAATATATTTCTAAGGGTCTATTAATCGAACATTATTTTTACGTGTATTATGTATTAGATGTAACAATTTCAAATTAATTATCTGAATATGAGTATATTTCACCTAATAATATAATTAATTAATAAGATTTACATATTCGTAAAAAGAAACAAAATTGTTCTTCAGAATAGTTTGTTTTAGATACGTCCAAATGCAATATCTTGGCCAATGCCTCTGTCGATGAGTGCAGCTAAATTCAGTTTATAATTACTATTTCGATCAGCGTTTTGAATATGATACAGGAGCATATATGAATTAGCACTAAGTACAGTAAGAAGCATAAAAGCGGTTGATTGACCAATATCGTTTGTACCTAAACTATCAGCATCTAGAAGACGAGATGCTTCAAATATATCATCAGCTGCACGTAAAGCTATCATGAATGGTTTCAAAGCTTGGTCAAATTGACCAAATGGTGACATTGGTTTTTGTATTGTAGCTACTAATCGCTCATAATCTTGTTGTTTTATTGATACACGATAATTATGTTCTCCACCATTCCAACGACGTTCTTTGTATAAATATTCATCTTCGACAACTTGATCACCGTTTCAGTAAACAATTTCATCAATCCGAATATCAAATTGCTTTGTTGCCATTATTGAAAATGGAAGTAAAGAAATTAGAAGTCATTTCGATTGGGGTTCTTTGATTGATGAAATTCAGTGATTGTCGTTGTCGTTCTGACTTTAATAAAATGCAAAAAAAAAATAACAAATTAAAGTTTTTATATAGACTTTTCTTTTTCATGGTCATGAAACTTTTGTTGCATACCCTCTTATATAAGTAACCGCAACGTGCCAAAATCAGAACACAAAAACATACTAATGAAATCAAAAAACCCACACTCGTTCACATCTATCTAATTACCTAAATATTTATATATTTACCTATTTATCTATGAAATATATAGATAAGTAGATAAATATTTATCTACCTATCTAAATATCTGTCTATCTAAGTATAGAGTGATAGCCTATTAAGGAAGAAATTCTGATGATAATATTGCTGAGGTTTGCCATGAACGCTCTTGTACTATGTCTTTAAGAATTTTTATGAGTCATTTCATTTTAGAGACCGTCATCAAGGCAGGTCTTCTCCAGATGCTCCTACGCACTGTTCTGTGCTATAGAAGAACGGATTTCTTTTTTGCCCCAACCTGTTCGTTCTACAGGGCGACCAAAATAGGGTGCAGGGAAAGACAGAACAAATTATTTAATAGGATGTCGCTATAAGCTACCCACGTTCACATTTCATACACTATATCTCTGAGTAACAATTTTTACGCCTTGAAGTCCTGACCTCCGGGTACAACGGAATGCATGGAACAATGTAAACGTTTATCTGCAAGCCCTTCATACAAGTGATCAAAGACTGGTTCTAGTGTATTTTTTCAATGTATACTGTCCTCTAGTCTCAATACACTTGTGTATTCGAATAAACCAGTTATCGATACAATTTTTAAGTCGTCTTTTGTCAGAGTGTAGATGACTCGTTCTAATGCATTCAAAAGTGTGATGTCATTGTGGAATTGAATTTTATGTAGTTGCTTTTTGAGTTTCGAAAACGAGAATAAGTAACACGTACTTTAATCTGGAGAATATGCTGAATTCTAATATGGCTCTACGTGACTTTTGGTCACAAATTCAACAGTACCACGAGCTCTATGTGGTCTCACGTTATCGTCATGAAAAATCAGACTTCGAAGACCGCTCCTTTTTCTCCATTCGAATACCACTTTGAAGATTTGTGCTAGGCAGATATTGACGTACCTATTAGCATTTATCGTCTCACCAGGTTCTAATTGTATAGACTTAATTACATCAAATTTCATGAAGAACATTGCCACCATTGGTTTATCTGAACTAGAGTCCGATTGACTTTTCTTAGTCACGGTTCGATTTTTGATACCCACACTTCTCAAGGCTTTTCGTTTTTGGATCATGATGATAGAACTGTGATTCATTACCAGTAGTAATGTCGAATAGACAATGGAAATGATCTTCTTCAGATTGTACGACTGGCTAGTGGCAAAGTTGAAAACACGGCTGTTTTTGGTTATCGGCTAGCTGATGAGACATTCCCTTTAGCACAAACTTTTCTTAGCTTCGAATAGTCGTGAACAATTAAATCAACCACTGATGAATCAATAAAGATTATTTTCAGTTACCGCTCGGATATAATCAATTGTTTCCTAGTTGACAGCGATTCGAAGATGACCTGAACGAGCAGCATGTTGAATACTGTAATTCGTCCGTTGAAATTTATGAAACCCATTGAGAACTGTATGGTCAAAAGGTGCTTGGTCGTCTCCCGCTTACATCTAACGAACATGGCTTTTCTTGTACGTCAAGCTAATTTTCCAATCATATAAAATCATATTTCGAAATTGTTCACATGAGAGCTTAAAAAATCATATTGAAACTAATCTGTTACCGGTTTAAATGAAATGAAAAGATTGAGCGATGCACATGACAAAAAATGAATGAAAGTTTTCACATAATCCTAAATATGTCTAAGCATTATGGTACAATAGTTACGTTCAAATTAAGACTTTTAGGAGAATCGAGCGAAAAAACTTTTCGAGTGTCCTATGTATATTGTAATTTTCCTTTGTTCATCTCCTTTACATTAGTCTTCATATTCAGTATCTGTCTTCTTCCGATGTGTATTTCCTATCTCTAAGTTTATATGAGCTGTGAAGATGACTTTCTAAAAGAAAATGTAATAACATCTCAAAAGACTTTTCTATGATGAAAAAATTTGATAATGTTTTTCATATTTAAACAAACTAACTGATAGAATTACTCAATTGACTAGATTTATTTAGATTTATCAAATCATCGACTAAGTAAATGCTTAACTGTATTAGAGAAAAATATTTAAATGATTCGCTTTTTTACTAAAACAATCGCTAATCAAATAAGGTACAGACTAAATATCAAAATATACAGCTTATGATAGTTCAAAGAATCAATCGAAATCATACATTATCTTTAAAAGAGTATAATGAGAAAAAAATCAAATAATATTGTCTAAAATAGAAAAATAAAGCTCTTAAATATATTTTTATTTGTATATTAATTGAGCATTATTTTTATGTCTGTTATGTATTTGACGAAAGAATTTTTAATGAATGATCTGAATAAGAATATATTTCACTAAATAGTGTGATTAAATAATACGCTTTACATAGTTGGAAGCAAAAAAAAACAGCATTGTTTTTAAAAATAATATGTTTCAGATGCGTCCAAGTGCAATATCTCGGCCTATACCTCTATTGATGAGTGCAGTAAATTCCGCTAAATTCAGCTTATAATCACTATTTTGATCAACTTTTTGAATATGATGAAGAAGCATGTATGGATTAGCATCGGGTACAATAACAGGCATAAACGCAGCTAATTCACCAATATCGATTGTACCTGAATGATCAACATCTAAAAGACGAAATGCTTCAGGTATATCATCAGCTGCATGTGGACCTATCATGAATGGTTTTAAAACTTTGACAAATTGATCAAATGGTAATGTTGGTTTTTGTATTGAAGCTGCTAATCGTTCATAATCTCGTCGTTTTACTGATAAATGATAATTACGCTCTTCACCATTACCACGAGTTTCTTTATATAAATATTCAGCTTCAGCAACTTGACCACCATGTTGATGAATAATTTCATCAACCTGAATATTAATTTGATCAGTTGTCATTATTGTCAATGAAGCTAATCGAATAGGAATTCACTTGGATTTGTGTTTGTCAATTGATGAAATTCCAATATTAGTGTTGTCGTTCTGATTTTAACAGAATAAAAAAGAATAGTTAGTTTATTTTTTTTTTATATAAGTATTTTTCTATTGTCATGAAACTTTTGTAGCATGTCTACTGGTTTAAATAAGCTCAATTTGAAAGAATCAGAACGCAAAAAAACACTAACGGAATCAGTATGCATTTCCAATCATAACCACATTAGCTACTCAAAATAGTGATGTTGACGGAATATTTTTAGCCATTCATATGAGACAATTAAAAAAAAAACATTCAATTATCGATGATATATGCTCTTGATCAATATTTGTCATTTGTCTACTATTTCACTCAAGGGGTAATGCAAACTTCTTCATTCCATAGAAACTCTTTAGTGCTGTTTTCTTCCATTGCACAAAGTTACTACCGAGAGAAGATGAAGACGTTGAATGAATTTTTCTTTTTTATACTTACAAACATCTTTTGAGTCAACAATTCTTGAATATAATTTGATTTGAGATATTTTCGGGAGATGTTGATAAAAGAATAATAAGCCTTTTCTGAAAGAAATCAAAAATTTGTCATACATGTCAAAATTGAAAGTTTAATTCAATTACTCAAAAATTAAAAAAAAGTATTTGCTCACTTAACTAATCTTTTATATCTGCGTCGCATTATTGAGACACGACTCAAAAAGACGTTAAAGTAAATGGACCAGAAGAGTTTGGACATTTTTTTTTTCTATTGTTTTGGACCAAAACGATAAATCGAATGTACTCTATGCATTGATGCTGTTATGGTGATTCCATTGAAAAGCTCTTCTTTTTCTAGCTTTCAACATATTTACAATACCTTTCTTTTCACTAGATTCAAAGAAATAGTATAATATCACTCGAATTTATAAATTAATCAATATTACTAAATCAAAATAGATAAGATAGAATACCTAAGCGCGGAATTCTTTAAGACAAACAAATCGAATATTATTAAAAAAGACAAATAGGTCATATGAAAAGTTTTCACATGTTTTTCTATTCTCCACTATGAACACTAATCAAAATTTAGCATATCCGACTGGCTTGCATATCGAAAAGAGGACTAAATAAAAAATTTTCCATTTTTTTTATTAGTCTCTCATCAAACTAATTTATTCAACATGAATAAATTTCTTTTATTTTGAATATGATTGTTAAGACGTATGTGATTTTTCATTGAGTGAAGTATATCTATATGCATAACTTGAGACTAACTTTTTCGTTTGATCTCATCGGTAGCCATTTGAACAGTCTTTAGCTAATGTATTGATACTTAATAACAATTATAGAGTAAATTAAATGGAAAATAGTTATTTTTCTAAACATTTTAACAATAGTCGATTTACTCAATGCTGGAACTTGCTATGGATATTTCATAGATTGTTAAGTTAATCAAACAAATTAATTTCACTAATCGATCTCCACGATTTTCTATCAATTTTAGCAAATTGTTAACCTTACTTAATCGAACTAGATCGAATCTGTGACAACCCTCATAATTGTCAGAAAATTGAATTTTTTCAATCAACAAGCGTTTAACTAAAAACATCTAAGAATCAATGTTGTTTCATTTAGACTAAACACACTTGTTTTTAGAAGCAAAATAGAAGAAAAAATCTAGCAAGAAATAGAAGTAAATCAACCCAAAATCAATCAAAAATAAACTAAATGTACATACATACTTAAAAGAAGAGTAAATCTAAAAAATCATTCCTCCATCACCAGTAACAGCTAAAAAAATATAAAAAACAGAAAAAGCATATTGATATATATGTTGCTCGATTTAACTGCACAAAAAATCACATCGGATACAAGAGTATTGGGGAAAATGTCTGCCTCTACTGCTCTGCAATAGAACAATGTCGAAAAAAAAGTGTTTTTTCAATAACAGATGTAGAATTTATTCCTCTTTAGAATCATACATAAATTTTATGGCACATTCATAAAAACAAGGCGGTGTTAAAGAAAAGTGAAGTATTCTTAAAACACATGTCTATACTTTTCATAAAATGTAGAATAACGCCACGAAATATCAATTATTTTTTTTTCTGCTTATGTCATCTTGTTGATGAATATATAAACAGAAAAACATCATATACAGATACAACGAGAAGAAAATTTCCTATGAAGTAATGAAAAAAATAGATATGCATTTGTTTACAGAGTACTTCACTTTTCTATAACATCGTCTTGTTATTATAGATGTGTTATAAAATTTACATATAATTCTAACGAGGAATAAATTCTACATCTGTCTCTCAAAAAAAAAATTTTCTTTCAACATTTTTCTACTGAAGAGAAGCGGGATCGGATATTTATCTCATTTTTTTTGCATGAGATCTTAAAAGAAAATCGAAAGAAAAGAATATGAACGATAGTAAATAAAAATAAGTATTATACATCTTTGGCCACAGTGTTCATTGATACTACAAATAAGCTTCTTTACATAAATCAATACATTGCAAAATATAAATATAGCATTGTTAGATATAGTGACGAATAATTCAAGCTTCTCTTGGGTATGTGTATAAATTTCTGTTTGCATGATGTTAAAGTTTACGTTGGTTATTCTAGTGATGTTCATGTAAATGTGATAAACAATAGCAATGGTAATCATCGACATAAAGATATCTCGTTTTATCGAGATAATTTATTACAGATGCCTCTGAATTTCTTGTGATTGAAATGAATCTTGCAGTCTTTGAAGTCAACAATACAAATAACCATAGATGTTTGAAAGACGTCATGAAGAATCAGTGTCTTTGTTAAACTACGTATGATACACGACAAAAGTACGATATATCAAAATTACTCTTAATACTAAAGAGAAGTAGGTGTTCACTAATATGAAAAAAAAATAACAGATAAATCTTTTCAAATTATTATACATTTAACGAAATCATTTTTTATTAAAATTATATACTATTTTATATAAGTATTTGGTCGTATCATAGAAAATTTTCTATGCATTAAATAATACAAATCGACATGACAAAGATGTATGAAAAAACGTAGAGCGACTAAAAAGAAGTAAAATAAAGTGTTAAAGGTAGTTAAAATGATGAATGCGAATTTTTATGGAACACGTATAGACTTGTACCGAACTCGAGTCTATAATGAGCAGCTCGAACTCAGTTTGTCTTAATTCATGTTGGTGTCGATTTTCTCATTTATTTTCTCATATTTTATTGTCTTTGTTTTATATTTCAGTAGCATTACGCTAGTTGTACTTGAAATTCAGTTTAAAAAAAATAGGTATATTGTGAAAGTAAGTGTAGTTCAGGAATCTGTTTGCATATACGGTCGTGTTTATACGTCAGTAACAGAATTATTTTGAGTTTTAAAACAGAGATTAAGGGTACATTCTAAGAATATTTCTTTTTTTTTGAAAGCAACATTGATTTGTTGGGAAGAGTAATGCAAAGTGTTTACATAAAGAAAGACCATAGAAATAGATACATCTGTTATTCATCTGAATAATAAAAAAGAACATTCGAACAAAACTACATGAATAAAGCACATATCGAGCAACAAACTTCAGAATTTAGTATGTACCAATAAATGAAAATAAATAGATAGTCTTAAATTTTCCTACACAACAGAAAATTAAAGATTTCTCAATAATGATATCTCTTTCTGTTTTGTTTATGCTCCAGTACATCGGAATAGTAGAAATTATAAAGGAGATGAGAAATATTTCTTTCATGCATCATTTTTCCTTTCATACTTGCTGTTTTTCTTATGCATGTAAACTATCGAAAGATAAGAATCTCTAAACAATCATCAATAACTAACGCAGTGAGTCTTATTTATATTCAAGTTTGACAATTAAAGTATTGTCTACGATAGGTGCCAATGAACTAGGATCATCCATGACGGAGTTTAACTAAGACTGACTCTCATCAAATTCCAGCCTGACTATATTTTATAGCACTCGAACAGTTATTCAAGATATTCACTTACTGCCGTCCTAAAAAAATTGCGCCTTTGTTTTGCTCCTGTTTAGTAGATTTCGATCAGAAAAATTACAATATGAATAGAAATTAATATGAATATTTTGGATCAACATTCAAGTATGAGTAGACTTATGTGAAGATACTTAATTTTGGATGCTGATCCAGAATATCATGTTAGTTCTCACTCAAATTCTACTTGTTCTGATCAAAACTGCAAAATGGTAGTCAAAAAGCTATGTCATCACGCTTCATGAGCAGTGCCCTTAAGATATGTTTAATCGGTCAGTATTTTTTTCTTGTTTTTTTTTATTCTATTTTGATAGCATTTGAAAAAGACTATTGAACCAATATTCATCAAAACAAGATTGGCACTTGCATCTGCAATTATTGTAATAAACACATCTCGTTTCTTTTTCTCTTATGCACAAAAATTTCGTTTATCTAATTCATCATGAATGACTTTAATTTTCTTGTGAAGAGAATAAATCCTGTAAGTTTTAAAGCTGGTAATAGGCACAACGGTTGCTATTGTCGTGACAAAGGTAGTTACATCACTAGCTGCTGACAGAGTAATACTAGTAATTAAAGTTATATGCAATTATTCGTCTATGTACGATCTCATGATGAATTAGTTTTGTCCTTCACCCACAAACACCATTAAGACATATCCGAAGACATGATAATAAAAAAATCTAACGAATATATCTATCAAATGGCTCTGTATTTCAAGAGATTATTATAATAGTTTCTTCTGACATATAAAATTTATCGATAATACTTTTCATTTTAAATAACTATTTATAGAATAATTCTACATGAATTTAATAAAAATGATTTTCATATATCAAATACTCATGATCTCGACTGATTGTATAGTTAGACGTAACAAAGTCAAAAAAAGAAGAAATATCGCCGTGCAAAATGGTCTGAAGGACATGCTTTATTGTAAAATAAAAAACCTATAGCATTCTTAATACCATCATAATAAAGATTGTCAGTATAATGTTGAATTGAAATTGTTTTGACTTGCTTCAGAATATTCATTTTGGAAAATATATGCATTTTCTATGAGAAATATACTATAAGTATATCACAAACAAAATAATCTACTCGTATATTGTAATCTTCAATTATTATAAAACTATATTTATATCAAACTAATCGATACAACTCATTTTGTGTAAAAAAATAAAAGTACATGTTGATCGTAAGTGTTTGGACATCGAGAAATGTGTCCCATATAAGCTCAAATATCCTTTTCTGTGGAGAGGATGTAAGAAATACGTATAACCTAATGAATATATGAGTCAGAATTATTATATCTTTCATTGAGATAGTCAAAGCCAAATTCATTAAAAAATGAATGTACCGTTAATCTACGTACTAATGAAAGAGAGACACTATAGAACTACATAAGTTAATGATTATACGATTGGTATTTTTATTCTCATCCACACAATAGAATTTTCTATTTTCAGAGAATTGATAGATGGTTTCAAATTCTTTTTTTTTTTTATCAAGAGAGAGTAGTTTATTTTTCATCGAGTTATTTTTGTTTCGTGAGACTTTTCATAAAAATGAAATATTCATCCAAAGATAGAAAGGGTGAGTCGAAAAAAACTGTTCTTTTTTGTTTATGTTTCACAATTTCGATTGATAATCGGCCAAATTAGTTCATGTTTGCCTCGCTTCACATGAGAAGATAGAGCAAAATGAGACGAACATTTTCTTGTCTGAGGAACAATACTTGAAAACCTACTTGAGAAATACTAGAGGTTTTCAAAGTTCTCTCCAGTTGGAATGATTCGAATCACCCTAACTGGTGTAATTCAGATTACTATCTCAAGGTTCTCACCATTTTTATAAAAACTCTAGAGATAAATTTTGTTCGATGTAAGATAGTTGAACAATGATTGAGATAAATCAATTTTTTTGAATAGTGATCTGCATGATACCAAATGGTTACATTCACTATTATAAAATCATCTCGTGTTATTGTTAATTTTATTTTCATTGTTACTTTTTTTAAATGCGAAATGACAATCTCATAATGAAGATTTCTTATAGCAAAACAAAAAAATAGCTATCGCTGCTCAACTTTTTCAGCGAAGATCTAAGTGTAGTATCTGCTCTTATCGATTTGAAAGCCAGCACTGATTTCATTAGGTTTAGGCTCTTTCACGCGGATTTTTGAAAATCGGTTGAGACCATCCTAGTTCATTCAGAGTTATGCCATGAATCGTCTCAACATTACAGTGTCATCGAATATAAAGCTATCCTTTAGTTTGTTTGCTTTGAGTATGATGGAATAATCTTCTTTATCTGATAGAATTGTTCAACACATTACCCTTCGCTAAAAATTGGCAGCATGGATCTGTAGAATTAATATCAAGTTACTTTGTAAAAGAGAACAGCTAGTTAATGCTTTATATTGATATCGAAAAACAATAAAGACTTCTATTATTCGTTGTCTGTAGACCAAGAAATTAATTTGATTAATACGAATCATGAGCGAGGTTGAATACATGTTAGCTAATTATATTCGGAATGAATCTTGTCAAACAATCAAGTTCCTTATGAAATTATAATTTAAACATCAGTGTGAGAAAAGAATTTACAAATATCTCCATTTGAACAAGACTTTTTTCCATAGAAGTCTCTTGTATTTGTCTATCCATATAAATTATTTTATCATATTTGCAGCATTGTATCATAGGTTTCTTAATAATTTGTTTGTCGGAAATTCTTAAGTTTTCATGGAAAACATATTGTAGTCAATATAACATAAGTGAAAATACAGTTGACTTACAAATCGTTCGACCATAACAAATCATTTGAGCATATCCGCTGTATCTCTCCTCTTACAATATTGACTACAATAAATCTTTCCTAAAATCTTTAAAACTTACAAAAAAAGAAGTTAGTAAGAAAAAGAGCTTTCAGGAAAAGAAAACGAAATTATTATTTTTGTTTATCACCTAAACTATAAATCGAAACGATCCATATAACTATGATTATGATTAGAGAATAAATGTCATTGGAATTAGATAATTTGAAGATGATCCTGAAACAACTATTCATTAAGGAATCTTAATAATTATTGCTTATGTTTAATGTGAAAGGATTCTGTTATCATCTGTGTAATTGAAGCAATAAATAACCATTTTCGTATTTCTTTCTTCAGATTGAACGATCGCAAATGATCACTGAATTGTTTTATGTTGCGTATAGTCCGATCATTAACAAATAATATTTAACACCTTTTCTATTTTCTCAAAAAATGTAAGATGTTAATTATTGTTTTTTATTTAAATGAAATCAAAACAAGATAGAATTAAAAATTGAGTCTTCGACAATTAATCGTTTCACTTTGGTATAATTTTGTCGTGTTGCATTTCTTGTAAAGTTTTTTGTTACGCTTTTCAATTGATCATATGAAACTTTGAATTCAGTTAAACATGATAAATGTGTTTTTAATTCATTCAGAAACTGATCAACATAACTTCAATCAAGTGAAATAAGATGAGAATACTCGATAATCGAATATGAATAGTTGTCAACGAATGGATATTTGTAAGATCTCCAAAATTGTGGATTTAAGTAATGGAAAAGCTCGAGTAACTTGAATGAAAAATACATGTTTGAATGGAAGTTCATTCTGCAATTCCAAATGAGTTACAGATCTGAATATAATAGATGGAAGATTGTTCGTGATCTGTTTGAGACGATCAAATATAAATGGGAGTGAGAAAACATGACATACAGTCTTAAAAGTATCGAAATAGTCTAGAATACAAATCGCCTGGTAAAGATCTATATTTATAAAAGTTCGTTGAATATCATAATTAGATATGCAATGAGTTGCATCATCGATGTTCTTCTTTGTACTAATATAAAAATTAAATGTATGAAGTCGTGGCATATAAGTAAGCATTTTATTATGAAGATGAGTTCCATTGACGAATGTAAATCGATTTATGATACAAATATATAAAGTTAATTCTTCAAGATATGACATACGATTAAGAAGAAGTACCACTAATTCATCATATAGACAAATTGTATCATAGCATATTAATGACAAATATTTCAAATTACATAGTTCATCCTGAAAAATAAAAGGATATTTTTTTAAAATAAATACATCTTTATCGATTGAACTATAAAATAATTTTATAGATTTCATAGATCTTTTCAATTTTTTCTTTAAATGTTTTTTTTGTATCCTATTTCATGTATCTTCTATTGATCATGACTATAATAATAACTTGATGTTAGTTAACTTCTTCAAATAAAAACTAGGATGTAAAAATGAATTTTCTAAACATCTTAATTCCTAGCGTGTAGTTAGACAGTACTATTTCAATTTTTCAAACTTACAAATGAACTTCAACTTCGATACTACGACGTT